CCATCTCCTATGAAGCCAGGCTGGGAGAGCCAGGGGTGTTCAACCTGGAGAAGAGAAGGATCCAGGGAGAGCTTGGAGCCCCTTCCAGAGCCTAAAGGGGCTCCAGGAGAGCTGGAGAGGGACTGGGGACAAGGGCTGGAGGGACAGGACATAGGGAATGGCTTCCCACTGGCAGAGGGCAGGGAGAGATGGGAGATTGGGAAGGAATTGCTGGCTGTGAGGGTGGGGAGGGGCTGGTCTGGAATTCCTAGAGAAGCTGTGGCTGCCCCTGGATCCCTAGGAGTGTCCAAGGCCAGTTTGGATGGGGCTTGGAGCAACCTGGAATAGTGGAAGGTATCCCTGCCCATGGCAGGGGTTGGAACTGGATGATCTTTAAGGTCCCTTCCCACCCAAACCATTTCAGGATTTGATGATTCCATGAAACTGGGATGACTCTGGATTTCCCAGTTTGTCAGCAGACAAATCCTGTGGGATGTGACTCCAAGGAATTAAAGCAAAAAAAACCCGAGCTCCAGGGAGAACTTGGAACCCCTTCCAGAACCTAAAGGGGCTCCAGGAGAGCTGGAGAGGGACTGGGGACAAGGGCTGGAGGGACAGGACACAGGGAATGGTTTCCCACTGCCAGAGGGCAGGGACAGATGGGAGATTGGGAAGGGATTCCTGGCTGGGAGGGTGGGGAGGGGCTGGATTGGATTTCCCAGTGAAGCTGTGGCTGCCCCTGGATCCCTGGGAGTGTCCAAGGCCAGGTTGGATGGGTCTTGGAGCAACCTGGGATAGTGGAAAATGTCCCTGCCTGTGGCAATGGGTGGGATGAGATGGTCTTTAAGTCCCTTCCCACCCAACCCAGTCTGGGATTCCATGATTATGGATGGAGTTTCCATCTTGGGTTCATGTAATTTCTCTGGCTTTTCTCTATTTTCCTCTCTTGGTCTTCGGTCAGAAATAATTCTGCTTTTCTTGGTCTGCAGTAAAGTTGTTTTAACCTCTCGTGTTTGAGCATCCTGGAATCCCGGAATGCTTTAGGTTGGAAAGGGCCTTAAAGCTCGTCCTGTTCCATGGGCAGGGACACCTTCCACTATCCCAGGTTGTTCCAAACCTCATCCGACCTGGCCTTGGACACTCCCAGGGATCCAGGAGCAGCCCCAGCTCCCACTATCCCAGGTCCCTCATCCCGAAGCCACTCCTCTCAGAGCTCGAGGAATTTGCTTTCCAACCTGCCAGCCCACTTGGATAAAGACTATTCCCTCCTCCCATCCTCCTTGGCATGCCATTCCCGTGGGATACATGGCCGGATTTCTGTTGTTTTTAAAGATGAAGCTCGGGAAAATCCATCTTGTCCTTAGAGGGATTTGAAGGAATGAAGTGTGAGGTGGATAAAACTCCGGGTGTTTTTTTAAACAGGGAGATATTTGAGATGACAAAAGAGCCCAGGACAACGTGTCCCCCATTCCATTGATTTTCCAGCAGCAAAGGGTTGTCGTTGACCCCTAACGGGGTCGGTTGGTTCTGCCGCGGGGCCCGGCGTTCCATCCTCCTGTTCCAACAGCCCTTCCTCGGGGCTGGAGAGGGGGAATGAGGGATAAATCCGTGTTCCACGTCAGGCTGTGTCTGGAGGGGGAAAACGCAGAGCTTTTCCAAGGGGGATGGGGGCAGGATTCTATTCTGGGAAGCAGCGAAATATCCAGAAAACGTTCCGGAGCCGAGCGGCGGCGGCGGCGTGAGCTGCGCGTGTGATTCAGCGGCCAAATTACCCTGGAGTGTATAAATAGGGGAAAATTGGATGGGAATAGGCAGATGACATTCCAGCTGGATGCAGGTGCGAGGCTCTTGTGGCTGTTTTTGGTAGCGAAAGGCGACAGAAATTGGAGATGGTGCTAAGAAAAGGTGTGGGAGTGATGTAAGCACGGGAATATGGGAACGTGGAGATGACAGGGTCTGGAACAAGGTGAGCTTTAAGGTCCCT